GTGCAGGAAACCGCGGCAGGCAGGCAGGCGAGGAAACGCGGCCCAGGTGACGTTCCGGGTGTCCGCCGAGGCCGCCACTGGAGGTCACAGCCTGTGCCTGGGGGACTTGAACTTCTTGTCCAGCAAAGAGGAGACCGTGCAATCAGTGTAAGATGGAGTGCGGGAGAGAGAAGAGGGGAACCCGCTGACAGATTTGGGAGACACTACCCCAAATTTCTCTGTTTCCCCTTCTATTTCTCCTGGAAGTGATTCATTAACCCCAAAAGTAATAAAAAAAAAACCTGATTCACTTTGAAGTTGAGTTATTAGTCTCTCCCTCGTTGCTTAGTCAGGGCTGGAACACAGGGCTTAGGGCAATGCACAGCATTCCTAGAAAATGTTTAGAAGATACTGTTTTCTGTCCGATTTAGTTCACTAAATTAAGCACCTCTCCCAACCACATACACACAGAGAGCCCAAAGCTTTTGCTTCATTGATAAGGAAAGATGGTAAAAGGCTACTTAATGAAGAGCATGTGAAGATGTGAAAATTTGAAGGCTGGGACAAACAAGGATTTTGATCATGTTTCACAGAGCAGTAATATCAGCACTCCTGTGACACGTATTGTGGCTGCCTGCTCACAGGTGCTTTCTCTAGGTGGGGAGGAAGCAAGTTTACTCGTGGGTTTGTTTTTTATCTAGCACATCTGGTGTGACAGAGGTGGCTAAAGAAACAAAGTCCAACTTGTAGAAAAATAAAAATGTTTAAATAAGAGTAAAAATTAGGAAATGTTATTGCACCTAAATTCAACAAAGGGCTCTTTTGAAAAGGGTTGTTTTAAATTTTAGATTCAAACTTTTAAAGCTTTAGAAAAAATATGTGATTTATTTTGAAAAGATTTAGAAATAAGTATGTAAATTTTTTTTTCTGGATTTCATGCAAACCTAACTTTCAAAAAGTGAAACTATGGATGCTTCCTGTCCTTAGCTAAGAAATAGTAAAAACAAAATAACCAAAAAAAAAAAACAACTAAAATGATAAAGAACAATTTCTAAAGTTTTAACCCAATAAAAGTACCAATGAGAAAAATACATGAGTAAAGCATGTAATTCCCTTGGTAACAATAGGGTTCCTAACACTTGTCCCCCATGCAGACTTTTAATTTTTCATTCTTCCCAAATCACTGAAAAACTGTAGAATTACATAAAAACATCTAACTTCTCTGTTTTGCGTAGCTTAAAATACACAGCTTATGAATTACTTTGAATTTTATAATTCCACACTTAAGATAACTGAAAATTTGAATTTTAATAGCATTTGGAGTTGCCACTAAAAAGAAAAGCTTAAGGCTACCCAACTATATAGATACCAAAGGGAGCTTGTCTATTGAATATAGACAGGGTGAGAAGGAAAATAGGGAAGAATGGCAAACATGAAGTACAGTCCCACTTCCTCAAGACACTGCTTGATTTCCCCCTTTTTACATGTGAAAATACTTCAAGATTCACTGATATGATGGCTAGCCGATGGGGGCCAATATGGCAATTCTCTCCCTATCCCTGCTACCTCTTTTTTTACCCCTTCAAACTTTTTGATTGGTTTAGTAAAGAAAGCACAGCAGAGCGTAAAATGAAAAATACTAAGTATCTTCTTAGCATTGATAGTTATTAAGAGAAATCATTACGAATACAGTTATCAGTTATTTAGCACCTACTAGCATTGCCATTGATACTTTACTGCACTGTCTCAATTAATAGTCACAATTGTGTAAGGAAGAAGTTGTATTACTTAAAATTTACAGATAAGGAAAATGAGGGAGGGCTCTGGACTAAGTCCCTATGAATTCTTTCTGGGTTCATATTCTGGCTCTCCCATTTGCAAGCTGTGTAACCTGAGCAAGTCGCCGAACTTATCTACACCACAGTTTAAAACAGACTTAAAGCTAGGCTTCTTCTGAGGATTACATAAAAAAACCCATGGAAAGCACTTGGTATAATGTTTAACACAAAATAAATACTATAAATAAGTATCCTATATCAAGCCAAGCAATTCAGATCAATTCTTATCTGAGAAATTTATCATCAAGTTGAAGATGTAGGGACCAAGAGAATGGCAGGCAATTTCTGACATCTATCAATCTTTTCTGTTACAGCTAATACTTTTTACCACACCCTCTTCATCCATAAGTCCTAACTCCTTCTAGATCAGGCAGTTTCTGATATCCATAATTGGTTTGGGTTTCCTAAAGGTTCCAATGAGTCACCAACAAAAGCCAAAACTGCTAGCCAAGCAAGTACAGTGCTCTAATACTCAAATTTGGGCAGCATTTAAAAAGTGCTCCTTATACAAAGGGCACTGTCTATAAACAAGAGTACAACAGAAATTCAAACATGTGGTTTTACCTACCAGGCCATAATAAAGAACCTGATGGCTTCTTACCTAAATACCCCTCCTCTGTACTCAAAAATATAAAAAGAAAATGACCCAATACAATTTACATTAATGTAAGGTAATTCTTTTTAATATAGCAGTGTGCCTTTCATACGATCAATTGGTTCTCCTATCAGTACACTTCTGATGTTCTGTAGCTCGAAGGACCTTCAGGATCTGTCAGCACAGATAGTGGTATGTATCATAAGGTTTGAGTAATGAGGACTCAAGTTTTCAAATGGTTCCTGATTGCCTACCACACACCAGGCACTCCGCTAGGCACAAGGTGAACACAATATAGTAATTTCGCTGAGGACATGAGAAGAGTAAGAAGTAGGAGAAACATTTAATTCATCAAAATGCTCTTATGGAAAAAGTTGTAACCACCAATTAGATTGTTTGTGGCTTAAGAGCTAGGCCGTCAGAAGTGAAACGCTGCCAAGTTCTGAGCATTTCATCCCTTCCAGGGATGTATTTAAAATATGGCCTTACTTCACCATCCAAATTTAGGGATGTTCCCAGGAGGTGCCAAGGGTAACAAGGTCTCTCTTAACAAGAATGATTATTTGCACAACAGATTCACTGTAAATGCTTTGTTCAAAGACCAAAGACATCACTAAGTGAAAAGAAAGGTTGATCTTTCCAGTTTTTAATTCCAGTTTGATGTAAAATGGCTGAAAATTTCCTAAAATTTTGTAAGATGCAAGACCCCACACAA